ATACCTACAGGGTCAAGGATTGATGGAAGACCACCACCGGTTCCTCCTTACTAATGCAGTTTAATGACAGCATTCATTTTTCTCCCTAGGGTCCGCAAGGAATTCCTGGTATTATGGGACCAAAAGGGGAAAAAGTAAGTGTTGTTATGGAGCTTGATATGTTTTGAGGAGCAAAGAAAGGAGGAAGGGAAGTGTTCACTTTTTTCCCTTGTTTATTTAGTGAATGGTGGACTTTATGGATGTGGGGATTTGTTTTAATTTTTATGTAAAGCTATGAATTGGTTTGAAACTATAATTTAAAGCTTCACCTTTCAGTGTTTCATCTTCAATCTTGAAATACTTTTGATGGCTTCTCATGATAGCTACCTCTCTCTAGAATATGTGTATGTCTAGGGAAAGCAACTCAGGGGCACAAGTCAGCAATCTCACTGGTCCAAAAACCCTTGAATGCCCCACCCATCCAAGAAGAGGTGAAAAGCAGAGCTCTCCTATGCAGTGTGAATTGTATGGGTCACCTCAGATATTAAAACTCACCTATATGTTAAGTTATGCCTTCAGATCTGCAAAGCATTTGCTCCATGATGAGCTTTATACCTGAAGCTGGGCGCTTAGTTACATGATTTGCTATACAAGGGGATGACTAGATTTAGGGCTGAGAACATGGGAAAGACCAAGGAGCTCCATTAAACTAAATCTTCTCATTTTACCTCTGGAAGTAAAGTCTTGAACACAAAGATATTCCCAATTCGTTGATTTTTTTTTTTTAATTTAAGTGCATTGACTAATGAGCCACTGTATTTCATGTGGTGCCTGTAAGACTAACATTTTCCTTTCTCTGGCAGGGGGAGATTGGCAGGCCGGGAAGAAAGGTATGAACAAGGGTGCTGTCTTAAAAACACATCTAATATTTGTCAGAGAGGGGTGAAGACAACAGTTAAATAAAAATTAAAAAACAGTGAGAAATTAACTGAGTTATGTTTCTGTGGACAGGGAGAGCAGGTATGGGAGCTGTCACTACTCCTCCAAAGTCTAAAGAAGGCTTGGCCAAATACACCTGAAGGAGGAATAACCATTAAGGATTGCACATACAGCATTTTGGCACCAATGCAATACGCTGAGTACAATCCTATGCTAGGTGACGTATGAGCCATGATATATTGTCAAAAATATGTGCCCCTACATTTGATGAAAGAGAATACATTGTCTCAGTCACTGAGTACCTTCATTTAATGTAATTAACTTTAAAAGAAGACAGAGATGCAGGATGAAATCAGAGATGTGCAGAGGGTAGTCACTAACCAGGAAAAGAAGTACCCTTCTAATAATATACCAAGGATTTTAGCACCTTTCTAATAATATACAAAGGATTTTAACACCAGCTGCCAATTAGTAATTCAAATAAATACATAAACAAAAGCAGTATTTTTCTTTAATCTAAATGGTAAATGCCCTGCAGCAAACGAAAATATTACTTATATAAATTCAAGTGCTCAAAACAGTAATGTCTCAGTCACTCACCAACCTACAAGAGTGCAAATCTTAAATGCAGTACATCGGTACTTACTCTTTTGAGTACTAGTAGGTTCTACTAGTAGTAGTGAGAAGTTGCTCAGGTTGGGAATAAAACAGTGTAACTCTTGCTGAAGGCTGTCTGGCTCATGGGAGGTTACTCCTAGCCCTAAATGTCATGGTGACATGTCTAATATCGTATTGTCACGTGGCATAAAGCGGTGGAAAAGGACTACTCTGCAGCATTTTAGGATACTCAAAGAGTGATTTACAGGCAGTAATCAAAAGAGATAAATAGCTGTATGTATGTAGTTATTTCTAGCCATAGTAATAAGGAGCAATTATAGCTAGTAATATAAGAATGTTCAGAATATGAATAGTAGTAAATAAAAATAGGAATGTCTTAAAGATTTGGTTCTATTCTTAATGTAAATTGGATTCACATGGATCTAATTACATGCAGATCTGTTTTATTTACATCATATTAATAAAGGAAAAAAGAATTTAAGTTACTAATACTGGGATTTTAGGATTATTATTTTGATTGCATGTAGATTTACTCTGTAGCTGATCTACTTACTTGAATCAGTGTAACCTGGTATTTCTTCAAGCCCACACTTCCTCCAGTAGCCTGAACACAAACTGTTTTGTGAGTAAATGTACTCTTTTTTCTGTTAAAAACAAGGTAAAGAAACATTATCAGGTCTTTTCCTGAAAAAAACTTTATTCCTCCGTATCTTCTGTCTGCACTGGAGGCCTGTGTGCAGGTATGATGTTACATGAATCATTGTAACCGATGTTTTCCGTTCAAGGGTAGACCAGGTCCCCCGGGCGTCCCTGGAATGCCAGGACCAGTAGGATGGCCTGGACCTGTGGGACAGAAGGTAAGACTAAAATACACTTGGAATAACCTGCTCAACATCACAGTCTGAACAGAACAGTTGTCTTGCGACAGCACTGTCTGCTGGAGGCTGGAAAGCTGCAGCAGTGCAAGGACACTCTGTGTCCGTCTCTTTTGTTACACTGGTCTGCGAAGAGCTGTCTAGTCTAGGGGTAGGTTACTCCACCCTCAGCCTAGGCCTTGTAGCACTTCTTATGTTCGTTAAAATATGTCATAGGGGAACTGAAAATTAATCCAATGAAGAGTTGTTGATAATCACTGCTGTTTCACAATCGTACAAATCAGTGTTTCAGAACTGATCAACATCTTTATCACTGTTCTTTATGATGATCTCACGTCCTTCTTGGCAGCATAACTGTGTGCCCGTGCCATCAGAGGGAAAATACCAGGCTGGTATCAGGGGAAAGAGATTACAGATCATGAGGATTGCTGATCTCATCTTTGAAGTTCATTCCCGTAAAAACAAACATAAATTCCTGTGACTTTTAATAACCAATGGCAGAAGAAATGGAAGAACATGCTTTGCTGCTGCAGAGTCGTTGCTTCATCTGCATTTATTATAAAAACAGCTGCAGGACAGTCCTTTGCTGAGTAAAGAAATTGGAACTGAATGGTTTTTAAAGTTTTTTCCAACCTAAAACATTCTATGATTCTGTGATTATCTTACACAAAAAAGTATGCAGTTCTTCACAGGAACCACAGTAGATGGAGTTTCTACTGGGACTTTTGAGATAACGTGCTTTTCTTCAATCCAGTATGCATCAGGTGAAAGGACTGCACGCAATGTTTAGTCTGAAACTGCATTTTCCAGTAAATCTTTGACTCTCTATTTCCTCTATGAAGGTAGGTGCTCCCACCTCAAAGGACATGATGCAGTAGCTCTTGCTACTGCAAGAATAATAGTAGACTTCTGAACTCAAGCCACATCTAAGAAGCAGGCCCTCAAAGTCTCCACAGCTATGTCATGTGAAGAACAGCATATTATAGCATGGGGAAATGTAGGCAAACAAGGACAAAGTGTGTACTTAAAAGGAGCCAATGCTCACTTTGAACTGTAAGATGGGAAATGATGTCTCCCCAAAATGCATTGTGTGCTGTGACTTCCCACAGTGGGATCAGTGAGGGCAGAAGGAAGGTCTAACTACCTTGTTCCCTCACAGTCTTAGTACTGAGAGCAGAGCAGTCAGAAAACTCATTTACTTGATCTTTTCCTTATGGAATCTTTCCTAATTTTGATTTTATCTCCTCTTTGTCTAGTTATGCTTTTTCATCACACTCCTAGAAGCATCCCTCACAGTCAGTAGGAATACTTTTTCATGTAATTTGACTACAAGTCCTACTTGCTGTTTGATTCCAGTTCTTCGGTTTTTATTGCCTCCTCTGATACCTGTCTCCTGTGTTCCTTAGATGGGTTAACACTTTCATTTCTTCTAGTCTTTATAAATTTTGGTTTCCTGCCCATCAGTGAGGGCTCCAGTCAGAGCCCAGCAGGTCTCTGTGCTCACTTCTACTGGTTGTCTCTCTCTGCCCTTTCTCTTCTCGTCTCTGATCTTCCCACACTCCTGATGCTCATCTTCACTAAACTCATTTGCTGCATCCTCTTCTTGTTGTAAATCTCCAATAAGTTTCTGTTTGTGTTTTTTTTTCTCTCATTCCCAGCTCTGTGCCTTCTATTTCTTCAGCTAAGTCTCCTTCGTTGTCTTTTATTTCTCTGACACAGCCTTGGTCAAATCCTTATTTCTCCTACTTTGTTTCTTCAAGTCTTTTCTGATCTTCTGCCAGGGCAGCAGCCAACGTGAAAATCCTCTCCATTTCTAAGACAATGAAAGCCAAAGGAGACTGAGCGCCAACTGTATTCTGCTGATAGCACTGCTGCATGTCTGTGGGGACTCCTCTGTATTTCATGCTAAATATAATTAGCTGACAGGAGCCAAAGAAGTTGTTGTAAAGCCTTTTCATGATTTACTGTCTCCAAATCAGTGTAAAACATACGATGGCTCAGAACTATGATAAAAGTAGTCATTGTGCCTCCTCTCGCTATAAAGGCTTGCAGCAAAATACCTTTCTTTTCTGCAATTCAGTGGAAGAAATGCTAAGTAGACACAAAGCACCTTCACGCAGAAAAAGGATGCGCTGTTGCTGCTCATTTCCTTGCTCACCCTTTAATAGCATCTGGCAAAACTGAAGCGGAAGTTGCACACCCGAGAAGAATAAGATAGCATATGAGGATTCAGGCAGCACACAATTGCAATGTAGACCTCTTACTACAATGCTACACCAAGGTCAGGCTTGTCTCAACTGCTTGACGTAAAAGCTGAACTGCTGAACTGTCAGACATTCAAGTATGACCTCACCAGAGAGTCACAATCAATAACTGTCTTTATTGACCCCTTTAGGGTGAAAAGGGAGAGTTGGGTGTGATGGGATTGCCAGGTACAAGAGGACCAATGGGCTCCAAGGTTTGTTAACCAAACACTGCATTTTCAGACATTGGTTTCTAACGCTCTGCTGACAGCTGCTTCCCTCATAAATTTGCTGGAAAGCATTTATCAGGATATATATTTTCTAATACAGCTGAAAAATATATGTTCTCCTTCAAGCAAGGTTATATTGACTGGTTGGTCTTGGCTGTGATTTTGGCTTTTCATAAAAATGTTTTTGTATAGATTACTGTAAAAAAATTATTTTAAAAGTGAAATTTATATATAATATGTATAATATATAATTGTATCCCACTAGAAAACTAGTTCTTAAGTATATCTATAGCATTAAATCATGTCTGCAATGTTTTCCACCCAACTTATAAGACTGTGGAGATCATTTTCGTCCTCTGCCAAAACAATGCATATGTATTAACAGCTGGATAGTAAATACAATTTGGTCTGGATATTCTAGGTATCTCCACATCATTGTCTAGTGTAGCCTCTACCTTTAAAAATCTAAGGCACAAATTTTCAGGTACTTGAAAAAAAAAACGTAATCAGTTTATTCAAATAAAGGACTGGAAAGAAGAACTGAACACCATTGTTTTTTATATGTTTCTTAAAGAGAAACTCAGTTTTATAGTAATTCCCACATTAGAAAATTACTTAAATATAATTTAATTATTAACTGTGGCATCTAGGGCTTTATTCACTTTCAGTTATGTTTTATTTCCCTTGCTTAAAGCAATATCAAACCTGCTGGCTTTACCTGGCTTTTTCACATTGGCTTTTGGCTGAGTTGTCTTGCCTTTAAACCACATTTCATGGTTCTGTTTCAGTGCAATTTTAGAAGCTATAAATATTGATTTGCATTTACAAGTTGATGCAATTAATTATTTGTGCTTCATTCTTTTTCTTCACTTTAAAGTTTGAAAGTCTGGCTTCCTGGATGATTTTGAAATTGAGAAGCATTAAATTATCTATCATTCCCTTTAGGGTTTTCCTGGAACTAGAGGAGAAAAGGTCAGTGTGACAATAGAATAATGTATCAATTAACAATTGGAAAGAGTTATGTAAAAAAAGGTAGCTGCAGAAATGAGATTGAGTCTTGATGGAGTGAAGTCTAAAGTCTGAGAAATGAAAACAGGCATCGAGGAGCACAATTTTGTGACCTGGGTTAAAGTGAGATTTACACTCCGTGTTCTTGTGAACAAGTTGCTACAGTAACTCACTTCAGTTTCCTCAGCTGTAGAATGGGTATAATAATCCTTAATTGTTGGTCTGGTTTGTTTAGTCTGTACACACTTCCGCACAGAGACAGTGCTTTACTGTAAGGCCTCATAGTGGGTCCTGAACTTGGATGAAGCCAACCAAGGAAAACAAATGAGATTTGGAAGTATTATGTCCAGGAAAGCACATATTTAAAGGAGTTACCTGGGGAGAATAAGTCCCCTTTCCTACAAGCCTTACTTTTAATTCTGTTATAATACCAATGAAAGTAATAAGGAAACATTTTAGGGTATCTACCATATGTCTCACTCTGAAGATATTGCTGTACTCTATGTGAATCCAGATGATGTGTCATATAGAAGAATTTTTTTGCTTCCTCATGAAATGACAGTAATTAAGCTGTTGTCACCCTGTGCTCTCTCTCTCCAGGGATCCAGGGGTGACAGGGGTGACAAAGGAGTCAAAGGAGACCAGGTAATTTTCTTTTCCAAATGACTCTGAGCTTTAGATGAGTGCACACTTGAAGACTCTCGCATTTCTGATAGGGAAAACCAGAAGTGATGTGGAGGAAAGGAACCTGGAAGCATCTTCCTGGGAGGGCAGGAGTGGTGAGGGAAGGCAGAGCTCCTACCTGATGGAGGGTGGTGGGACAGCCTCCATGTCCATGTGCCCCCCAGTCCCAGTGCATGGTGGGGTGATGGGTCAGGGGGGGAATTTCCCTGGACGTAACCTCAGTCTCTCTTCGCCCCTGCAGTTCAGAACAACCACAGCTTGCCAAAAGACATTTAGGTGGTATTATGGTAATGCTGGTGGGGAGGAAGCGAGATTTGTGGTTTGGAAGTAAAAGGGTTTTGGCCTAAATGGAGAAATGCCGTTCCCAAACACAGGCTTTGGGACACGTCCCAGTTGCAGGGTTGCCTGTGGATGAAAGCACAATCAGGATATTTGTCAGAGGAGAGGAAGCAGGTGCCAGACTGATCTTCTGGCAGACAGATGTATTATTATCGTACAAGGGGATTTAAAGTAAAATTTTGCTTATAATTCCCCAACTTCTGCAGGTATCATTGTGCAGGATTTTTTAACTGTACATCACACTTGTATTTCTTCCTTCCAAGGAAGGGCTGATTTGTCAAAGCTCGTTCCACTTTTTCTGATGATTTTTCTTCTTTTAATTTGCAGGGAGAAATAGGCTTCCCTGGAATGCTGGGACAAAAAGTAAGTGGGTGCAATGAGTGAAGGAGTTAAGTGCTGACATAGGGACAATGAGTGGCTGCAGGGACATCCTGGAAAGTGTAGGACATTGAAAGTCTTGCTTGATTCAATGATCAACACTTGAGCTTGATCAAATTCTTTAGGCTTTTATATCTTTTAGGAGAAAACTCTGAGATTTAGCTGTTTGTTTTGTTTCTCTTTTTTTCCCCCACAACATTAATTTAGTCATAATCTTCCTCCTGTTTACCATATTCAGACTCTTGATTATAGATTCATAACTTCCCTAATTGTTTTACTCACTTGAAGCAAATAAATATTTCCTTTTTGATGCTCTGAATTGAAATGGCACTAGTATAAATAGCAGCTTATTCTGTACTTGAAAAACTATCAAAATTCAGGTATTGGCTTATGGATAGAAAGCCTAAAGGAGAATAATTTTATGACGTAATCACATCTTGTCTCTGAAAATAGAATAAGGAAATAATGATTGCTTCTGTGGAGGCTAGAAGATGAGTGGATTCACCTCCCTTTCACTGTGTGATTTTATTATATGTGTGTCTTAACAACAAAGCAAGATATTGCCAAGGGGTCAGAGAGTTTTGCTAGCCTTGACCTCTCGAAGGTTTTGAGCCTATTTCTGATCTCTCCATTTGACCTCTTGTTTGGGAAAGAATTTTTCAAGGGTATGTGGGTAAATTGTAAGGGATGTTTTTTTACTTTATGCTTCTTTTAAAACATTTTGTTGTAGTTTTGTATTTCTAAGAAAGAAACGGTGCCAGCATTATCTAGAGGAATTGTGCAAGTGAAGGCACCATCTGGCTGCTGTCTTGTACAAGGCAGGTATAACCACGTACTTACTTCCTTCTTCCTTCCCTCTGCACCCACCAAGGGAGAGATGGGCCCGAAGGGACAGTCGGGAGTACCAGGACACAGAGGACCTATAGGAAGACCTGGAAAACGAGGCAAACAAGTAGGACCATGATGTTTCCTCTTTCGGTGACTCATGGCATCTGTGTGGTCGTGGCGTATGACCGTGTGTTCTGTGGTCTCATGGTATTATGCACTTCATTGCAGGGATGTAGACAGAAGCCCTGAAACACCTCACACACATGCACAGGCTGTGCAGGAGTTAAAGCCTCAGCTTTAGGGCTGCAGCCTTATCTGCACCATTTAGGTCCCTGGCCATGCAGCACGGGGAAAATTCTATTTGCCTGGCTTGGTAACAAGTTCTTTGAATACAGCTTGAGCAGACTTTGATCTCCTCCTTTGAATCCTAAGCGACACAGGTCCCAGCCTCACCTGATGGCTGGAGAGTTGGCATGAGGTTCAGGTCTCGGACAGCATGGGGTGAAATGCCAAGGTGCCCTACGCTTTGTAGATCCCAACCCTGAAGCTGGCTCAGGGAGTGGGACTGTTCTATTTACAGGCAGACTGCAATGGCAAATGGGATATATCCAAAATTCAACACATTTCAGCCTACTCAAATGCCACCCTGTGTCCCTTGTGAAAACAAGTTCCTGGGATGAATGAAGGAAGGTTTGTGGGGAAACACTGGCTTTACGGGTCTCTGAATGAGGGAGGGATTGCTGTGGGTGCTACAAAAACTAGTCGCCCCTCAGCTCTGGGCAGAGAGGTAACATCAGCGTTTTGCGGGGGAGGTCTCATTGCCTGTCCATGAATTTTCTCCTTGGCTCACTACTGCTAACAAAATTAGAAAGGTGTGCTCTAATGGATTAAACTGATGTGTGGTTTGCAACAGTGAAAACCACTGGTCTGTACATCCAAACCTCAGATATGTATTAGGCTGTAGTACACTCCTGGTTTCCAGCACACACATTAAGTGTACATCCAATGTCCATTCAGGCTCTGCCCTTGCTGCTGAGCCTACCTGGCAGAAGCTTTCTGTCCAGACTACCAATTTATTTGAGTCAGGCTTTACCCAGGCCCAAATGCTGGTCAACACAGATCAGCTTGCAGAGCCACAAGTCCTTGGAGATGTCCATCACACAGTGCAAAGAACCAAAACACTAAAACACCCTCTCTGTTTCTCCCATTTCCTCTGTTAACACTAAACCAAGATTGATTTGTTAGACTGGATATTTATATGGGAGTTCTCGCCATAGTGCTGCATGCCAGGGAGAGATTCTTCTGCTCTGAGAAAAGGTCAGGAAGATACATAGTGACCTTAAGGGATGGTAATCATGTATGGAAGCTGTTCAGGAATGAGATGGTTGGCAAATAGTCCTTATTTAGAGCTCAGAATAATTGTGGTGGCAGAACTAAATTTTTTCAGACTTTAAAGACCAGGAATTGTCAGTAGATTTGATACTGACTTCCACTACAGCATTTTCCAAGAAGGAGATAAAGAGGTTGGTATAGTTACCTGCTCAAGTCAACAAATGGGCCACTTTAACGCACTTTTCCTTTTGTATTTATTACAAAGGCAATCAGTTCCTGGTGCACTGAATTGCTGCCTGCAGAGCCTGTTTCTTTCCGCGGACTCACAGGCAAGGGGACCTGTTCTCGCTCAGATATGGGAGCATGTAGATGGGGTGGTTAATGGGCTTAGCTGAGAGTATTTTATCCGCAGTCTGGTTATGCTCAACACTGCAAACAGAGGCATATGACTGCTTCACTGTTGCTCTTGTGCCATTAGCTAGTATCTGAAATGAAACAATAGCCAGTGTGTGGGGAAAATTAAAAGTTGGATATTAGGAAAGGAACAACAGGTCACTAAGTAAGAAAGGTATGTGCAGCGTAAGTCTGCAAGAAAAATGGTTTTGTCCTTGATTTGTCAGGTTTTAAAAGCTTTTGACTGTTTCCATTTTGGTTTTTGATGGTTTTTTTTGTAAACTGTGCTCATTTGTTCTGCTGAAGTAATATTCACAGAACATCTTTCCACAGCATAAGGCAAAGAGAAGATGCAGTGCCTACAAATCAACTTGAACACAGTGCCCTCCTTACTTGGCCTTAGACATTTTGTCACATTACACAGTGTCTTAATCAAAAAGTGGTGACATAAGGTGTGTCATAATTTAAGGCAACAATCAGTGTGACTAGAAGAATATAGTCTGCCCCTAAATTAGGATTTCCAGACCCAAGACTCAATACTTTCTGGTGCCCTGAAAGCAATTTCAGCATCTGCATCAAAACTGTGTTTCTTGGTGAACTACCTATGTCCTTTCTTCTTTTCTAATCCTTTAAAAAAAAAAAAAGTGACATTTTAAGGCTCTTTGGCCTGGCTGTTGCCTTTAAGGGCTGTAGCTGCTGGGCTGTTTGTTCAGCTGGGGGGATAGTTTCCATCTACATGGGGCCATTTCCTGTCCCTTGATCCAGCTGACATCCCTAGATAAAAGCAGCTAAATTAGGAAGGTGTCACTTCCACTTCCATTTTGAGATATGTCTTGATTATCTCATTGGCTTCTTCAGCTCTTCCCTGTCTCTGGGACAGGCTCTTCCCAAAAGGTGGCCAGGAGGTGGGAGTCACAAACCACAGCCTCACTGCCCTCTAACTGAGATGTAACACCCAAAGCTTTGTAACTTGGGAATCGACCCTAAGGAGCAAGTTTAGGATTTCAGTCTTGACAGGGAGGAATGACTTAGGGCTTTTTGGTAATGTCACTTTGAAAGAGAAGAGAAGAGAGGAATATTAATATTGTCCGTGGGAAAATCCTCCCTGAATGCCATGGGTGCATGCAAAAAGAAACAAGGCAAAAGTATTTAATATAAATCTCTGCCATTATTATTTAATCTACCTGTGCTAAGCAAGAGGACATTAAGCAATCATTCCTCCAAAGCAGGAGACACAGAAGACAGCTCGTTTTCAGGCAGTATGTGTTTGACTGTCTCTGGCTTGTCTCTGCCAGATAGCTGTCATGTGTGGGAAAGATATTTCCCACAGATTTCTTTGGGGCTACAAAATCTTGATCTGCTAGTTCTAGGTTGTGTAATGTAAGAAGTAATTAGGGATCAGCATCGCTTGCATTCATATAAATCCTGGAATATTTTGATGGCACAGAGCTTGCCTAATAGGATTAAACAAAGCAAATATTCAATTAGTTCTTCATGGTCCGTGGCAAAATCAGCCTTCCTCTGTTGAAATGGTGCAAGTGACATTCAAATGTATCCATGCTATGCAACATATTATATAACAAATTATTGTCGTATATATTATTATATTTGCTCCATTACTCTGATATTAGACATGCAAACACTTATCATGCGCTTGTGAATGCACATTAGTGTGGAATTACACCATCTTCCACGAATTATTCTCCTTTGTCATTAAAAGAAAGCTTACCTAGTATACATCATATTTGTTATGCTAAATAACGTATGCTGTGACATAAAAATCAAATCAGACATTTAAACTTTAAGCTATGTAATACTCTTCTGAAATATAAAGCTGAGAAACCCAAGCCTTGGAGAATATATGAGCAGGAAGGTAAATATAGTTTTGATAAGTGTTATCATATTAAGTTCAGGGGCAAAAATAGGAAGGTGCTGACCAGTTCTGAAATGCCTAAGGGTATGGCTTGCACAAACAAGCTCCCATGAGGCAAATTAGGGCTGATTTTACAGAATATTAGCTAGTGTATGGAACTATGTGTAAGTTCATCTCCCATAGGTAATTTCACAGCATGTTAACTGAGTGATAAGGTACCAGAGGGACACCATCTGTCAACGTGGTGTTGCCACACACGAGCTTGCACTTCATAAAGCTAAGCCCTTGCTTGCCTTGCATTGATTTCTTAATATAGGTATACCCGTGGTGAGAATCAGGCACATAAAGTACTCCTAAAAACAGTGTAGGCCTTAAAGTCGTTAGTGTGCTTCTGAGAGACTGGGAAACGTCACTTTGAAAGCCCTTGACAACTTCTTGGTGACTGTTCTCTTTTTTTTGGGGGGGGGGGGGGGGGGTCGGTAACTAAGGATTTACAGAGTCAGTTATTTCAGCTCCACCAATCCTTTTATTCTGAGCTCACTGACTTCTAGAGAACTACTAAGGATAAAAAGCCATCCTTAAAGAAGGGCTCTTGAATGACTGAAGTCAGAGCAGGATGATCTGTGACTCCACACAGAACTGGTCTCTGGGTGTGTTCACATTTAGGAGCAGAAGTCCTGCCTGGACATGCTTTTCTGTCTCTACGTAGAAGAAGACAGCACCTCTTCCCTGGGGTGGTGACTGTGAAGCTCATGCTGCGTGCTTCTATTGGCAGCTCTCCTGGCTTTCTTGAAAAGGAAGCCAGTGGTGGCTGGAAGAGGATGTGTGTTATTTACAGTTTGCAAATAAATTAATGTCTCCTCTCTCCTAGGGACTAAAGGGAGACATTGGACCTGCGGGCATCATGGGTCCGCCTGGAAGACCTGGTCCTTCTGGCCAGCCAGGCCCCCCTGGACCTTCAGGATCAGGTAAGCTGGAGATCAGGTGTTTTCCTAAATGGCATCTCTGCCCCGAAGACCCTCCTGATTCATCAGATGCACCTGCGTAGGGTCCTTTCCAAAAAGTGCCACAGGACTTCATTTGCTTCTCCACTGACAGCAAGGGGAGGATTTCTCCTGAAGACAGGTCATGCCAGCCTTCTCCATTATAAAGACTCTATGCCTTACTTGAAAGCCTACATGATGGCTCTTGATGTTTCAGATATAACCAAAACCATGGCCTATGTGGCCCCTGTGGGACTTTGGTATATGGGGATGATGAAAAGCCATCTGGCAGCCTTGGAGAGACTAGGTAACTGCCATCATCAGAGGTCTGCAGTCGCTCCAGATATGCTGGCCTACAGTGAAAGATTGCGAATGCTAATCAGTCAGGACATAACCCATGCTCTGTGATGGGACACAAGTCATAATGGCATTAAGAAAAGAAGGGAAGAGAAGGAAAGGGATAGGCCTAAGAAGGACAAAAGGGCAGTGAAGAAAAAGTCTCTTCTTAAGGGCGGGATATCCATACTCACTGCAATTGTATGTCTTGTAGAAATTATGAGAAAAATCTTGTAACTGATAATTGTACAGCTTCAAAGCTAAGCGTGCACATGAATTCTGGGTAGCTTGTGAGACCAAGAGCAGACATGAAGGACAATGCATGACCCACAATGCTCAGTGACAGTGAATCCTCAGATAGGTTTTTTTTTCAACCCAGTTATAAAGTATCTGAAAAGAAAACAAAATCAGTTGGAAACTACTGTTCCTTTGGATGGACAACAGCTGCTTGTACTGCAGTCAGTCTGTTCAATATCTTCTATTTTGTGTTCCCCTTTTCTTCCCTTCTTACATGAGTGGGCAGCAGGTCCCTTCTTGTGGTGGTGTGGAAATAGTATATCTGTGAAGCTGGAGGCAAAGTCTTCACATATCTCATGTCTCCTATTACGAAACATCTTTGTCTTGTATAAATTAGCTGGAAGTTTTCAGAGGGCAGAATTTTCACCATGCTAATGGGAAGGCGGACAGGATCTTGAGGTTACTTTTTGAAGACTTTATTCCATCCACAGAAAGTTTATGTGTCAGGCTTGTTAATCTTTTTCCTCTAGAATATAAATTCTGATTCTGAAAGACCTTTCGGTAATGATGTCACTGCTTGCAGTATGAACATGTTGGCTCATAGTCTAATTTTGCAGAGTAGCACATCCTTGCCAAAATTTGAAAGTCAAAAGGACTTTTTTAAAAAAAAAATTATTTGTATCACTCTTCTATTTCTGGTTAGGTTTTCCTGTACAGCAGCCTCTGAAACAACCTTGCTTAAGTGGTTGCACAAACGCACGAGTCCAGTGCCCTGTTGGATGTACACAGAGACTGACTCTGCTAAACTTGGTGCACGGGTGCTGCAGAACGATCTGTGCACTCATCACAGCCTGAATTTCCATCACTTCAAACAGGCTGACATTCTAAGCAACTGGTCTCGCCCTTTCTCTGTAAAGTTGGTAGAAAAGAAATTAAAGGTAATCTGAAATAACACAAACTCAGGTCCTTCTCCTGAACTGCTGGAGTTGGTGGTTCTGATAATCCCTTCCCTCAGTTCCCAGTGGATTTGGAGGGAGATACACGTATGTGAAAACTTAGGTAATTGCATATATCCATCTGACCTGTACTTCTTCCACTGAGGCTGTGTTTGTGTTTTATTAACCTCGTAACAAGGTAACCTGGTATTTTACTTCCCAGGACAATTTGCAATAGGACCGAAAGGGGACAGAGGACTTCCAGGGCCTCCAGGGAGATGTCTCTGCAGATCCCCACAACATGTGAATAACCCAGTGTATGAGGAATCTGTATTTGGACACAATTATCCAAAAGTTCCTGCGGTAAGCAGATTTTCTGAAGGGAACATAAGCGGTTATTGTAAGTGGTGGTGTACTCACTAATACTTTGGATTTAACAGGGAAGATGTCATATCTTCTTCTGCAAAGACAGTGATTTCAGAATTGAGTATTGGAGTAAAACATTTCACATATGCAATAGAACTTTCTCCCAAAGAACAGACCCTCTACCTTGAACCAAAAAGGAGTCTCCACAAACCATGGGAGTCAGGCTTCCGAGCTCCTGTCTGCAGACATAGCTTTTATATAGCTAATTTCGATCTCTAACCTTCTTGAAAGCATTTTTATGAGCCAATTTGACAAAGTACTTTAAGAGACAAGTCATTGGTGGAAAGTGACCTAGCAATCCTTCATCTCTGATTTATTTGAACTTTGTAAATACTGTTCTGTACTTTTCCTTCTGCTGGTCCCTGCCTTATTATTCTGTGCATTTTAGTACTTAATCAGCAATGAAAATGCCACCTTGCTGCTGTGTACCAGCACAGCCTGGGACGCTCCACTCATGTAAATGGATATTATGTGGTGTCTGGTCAGCTGTGAATGACAATAAGCAGCAATTAGCTTTGTTAACTTTCCCATCTGTCACGTTGTCAGAAAGCTGTTAGAGTGTGTGAAAGGGGCACCCTCACAACACTGTCCATTAAACTGGGTCATTGAACTCAATCACATGAACGTGCTGCAAGACTCATCAGCTGCCCCTGCATCCCTGTCTGTGCTGCATTACAAAAAAGACCCATTGGTTTTAAAATGTAATGGTGAGAGAAGAAAGAGCATGAAATAAAGGTGCATATCACATCATGCTGCATGCTAGTGCAACAAAACCTATCAGGTACTTCACGACATGGAGAACTCATAGGAAGAGGTGTAAGGCTTGCAATATTCTGCCTAGGTCTTACCAATTTCCTTCTCCATCAGGCACAGTTTCATACTCTATCTTAAAAGTCGGCAATGAGAGCGTAACTACTTCACATATAAGTATCCTGTGCTGTCACTATGAACCCTCATTTGATAATGGAGTGCCATTTCATTCTCAGAAATGCAGGATGGTGAAGAACCAAGCCTCAGCTCTGAAAGTTCACCTGCCCCATTTGTTTTACTCCCTTGAGTGTCAAGAACAGGAGCTTGAACATGGCTACTATTTATTCTGTTCAGATCCCCATGTAGCAGCTTTGAAGCCTGCCTTGTACCACTTGAAAACTGTCAGGGTTCCTGTAGCTGACCATGGAAAAAAAAACCCAGAGATGATGCTCCGTGCCCCAGCCCCAGTGTTGTGGGGTTTCTCCAAACAGCCTCCTCCTGCAGCCCGGCCCTGGGGCAGTCACCCCCACTCCTCCCCTGCCATCCCTGACAGGTTTGGGGAGAGACTAGGAAAAAAACCACTGGCTTTCTGACACTGGCTAAGGTTCATTCTGATTTCTAAATCTTTCTGCTATTTCAAAGGCCAGTATTCGCAACAGAGAATTTCAGAGAGCACAGATTTGCTGTTGATTTCAAGAGAAATTAGATCTCTGGGGTTGGGACTTGAGCCCCAGAGTGCAATTACAGAATCTGGATGCTGGCTTTCTATTTCTTTGCTTTCTTTCATTCAAGCTGAAGGCATTTTTATTCAATGCTTCTTTAATGAAATTGGCCTTTGTCGAGGGCTCTGGGAATATTCTGCTATGTAGAAATTCCAGGGTGATTTGTTTAATAAGGGGCCAATTCTGGTTTTGCTGGTGGGATTCAGGCTCAACCCTAAATCTATTTTGCTCAGAAGCACTCCATTTGCTTTTTCTTAATTTAAAAATGGTTTTGATAAAATTAATTTGATTAAGCTGCTGAAGGAAGAGATTATTTCCTAATGCCACTTACAGCCAATTTCAGTGACTGAGACATTACAAAAATGGTAAGAGAGAAGCTTGTCCTAATTTTTCCATTTTGAACTACTTTCTTCTGGTAATTGAAGACTTGACTTCAGACTAAACTATATGCATATAAAGAAACATGCGTTTTAGCACCAGTTAAATCTAAACAAAGTACAAAGTAATAAAGGAAAAGTGAAGGTTGCATTGAGCAATGCATTATTTATTTTGTAGCCATGAGCACACCTAAAAAAATAGAAATGAGCCCACAAAAATTGCTCATGCCCATATGGATTTTGCAAGTGTTCCAGCAGCTAACCATCTGAGCATCTGATGCTTTTTTCTCAGCAATGATTGTGCACAAGTGTTTGCATGATCGTTACCTGTGGCTGTGCATTTTGAAATAAGGGCCACTGAAGCCATAGCTAAGCGCTCACGAAAGATCACCCTCCTTTGGAAATTCATGTCTTTTCTAACAAGTCGCAAAGGAGCCCGTGGGTGTAGCTTCTCACACCATTCTGTCTCAGAAAACAACCAAACCATTTTTCTGTGTAATTATTTACCTATTTGCAGATACATACATCGGTTGACCAAACTAGATTCTCTGACAATGCGAAATACTTCTTGAGAAGGTTACCAATCACCTCTTTTTCTGTGCCCCAGATTTTTGTGGTGAACAATAAAGAAGAATTGGACCGGTTAAACATGGAAAATGCCCTAGCTTTTAGAAGAGATCAGAGATCTTTATATTTCAAGGATACCTTTGGATGGCTCCCAATCCAGGTGAAACTATGACTATGGTCTCAGAAAACTTGTGAGTGAATATTTCATTTCTAAATACAGAACATGATTCTGTACTTAAGGTTTCATACAGAATCCATGAAGCGAATGGAGAAAATACCCATTTATGAATGCTACCACAACTGAACATAATTCTGTTATTTTTTTTTTGTTCACAGGAGTTTCAGTTACTGAGGTGTTAACTCATCAGTGTTGCAGGTTTTCCTAACTCCCCTGTGAACCAGGCTCCACTGATGAAAAAACTGGGGCTGAATTTGAGAAATTACGATAGTAAAGAGCATTTTTTTATTTAGTACAAAATAAGGCAGAACTCACCAGGGTACAAAGTTGTTGATAAACACAAACCCTGCAAACCAAACCCACGTATTTCTTTAATTGCTTTGAGGAGCTAAGCTAAGTCCCACTGAAATCAGCAGTGGGATCCTTCTTGTGTGCACTGGACTTTGAATCACCTTCCGTATAAACCCTGTGAACACCAGATATGAAAACCTGGTTGTGGAATCTGCCTTCCAGAGCCCTTCCTCCTCTGCCTGCGAGCCAGGCTGCTTGATGCCCAGTTCAGTAACCACGGTGTGGTTTTTTTGGCCAGCTCACGCCTTTCTACCCCGTGGATTACCGCTTCGGGGATGGCAGTACCTGTGGAGATGGGATCGTACAGGATGGGGAGGAGTGTGACGACGGCAATGCAGTTGTGACTGATGACTGTATAAGTAAGTTCCCACGTGTCGGGAGCAGCCTCTCTCTACCAGGGAAGGCGCATTAGCGGTTTCCACAGGGTAGGCTGCTCTGTAAGTCACACCCGTGCTTGATTCCCTGAAGCTTGCGTGGTTTGTGGATGGAGAGCAGGTGTGGGGAGAGGGAGGCGCAATGGTCCTACGTGCATGTGGATGTCACACACGAGACAGAGGCGATGCCAAGTACTTCTCCTGCATCCCCACTGACCATGTACCTTCCTGAGCAGAGGTGTCTGCACTCAGGGCAAGACCACTGCGTTCCAGAGGCCAAACCCAGCAACTGGTTTATACACACACCTTCCCCAGGGGCTGCTGACATTCTGCCCAGAAGCAGCCCACTGGAGCTGGCTGTTTCTCATAGTAAGCTAGATACTGGGTCCAGTAAAAATGCTTTGGATTTCCTTATTCACTTGCATAGGGAAGGTGTCAGCCCACTACCTTCACTTTAGGTTTATACATTTGACTCCTATCTGGTCAGACTTCCTTTTATTTTTCTGGTTGTGGCTAGGGAGAAGTGTACAAACATACAAGCAGCTGTGGCAACTTTCCCTTCTACCTTTCAGCTACTTTTACCACTTGATTCCTTCCCCAGAACACAGCAGGTTTGGTACACTATTGGGCCGAGCAGAGGGATGCTCCTTCACATTTCAGAACAGGCATCAGCCCACGCTGAAAGATGCAATTTTTCTTTTTCATTTGTATAGATAACCATTTTTTAGCCTGACTTTGAAAATGAAGCGTATGCAACCATGCTCTGTGCGAGTTTGCACATCGCCACGCTTCCCCTTATAACTTAGGAATCCCAGCCAACTTCTCAATAACGACAGGAAAGAGATTTCAAAGGCAATTTAGTTGCAACAGGTATATGGAGACATATAAATAAGTGTCCCTCAAAGCTTGCCTGACTGCAAAGTGATCCAGTGAGAGAGCATGAGCTCTCCAGGCTCTGAGCATGAGAAAATGATTCAATTAGAATTTGCAATCAACCGTGGGGAACAAGCATGCAGGAAAACAGTGTTCATTAGTTCTAGTGCCTGCAAAATCGTACATTGTGTGTCTGGAGGCACATTGTGTTACTTTCTGCTATACATAAAGAGGGCAAAGCTTCAGCTTGATCAAAGCCTTGGAATACAGAGATTTTTTGACACTGATGTGACTCCAGGATTTATCACTGAGTTATCTGGAGATGAGCACATTGTCATCATTCTGCTCTTGGGACTGAACCAAAAGAAAAATGTTAAACAAATGGTAAATGTTAAACAAATGGTAAATGGATTTTAGTGTGAAGTAGGCTCGTTGTTCTCAGTAGGATCAATTTCTAACGAATAGATCCTTGCTGCAATTAATTAATCATTTCTATTTGTAAATAACTCACTTTAACTCTTGTAAACTCCCTATTCTTCAGTGCCCTTTTAATTGTTCCTTAATAGAGTCTCAGAGATGATGTCAAAGGGACTTTAGCTAAATGAATTTTTTTGAGCTATAAAGTCATTCTCAGAAAGTTGAAGACATCAAAAGCAAAGTCTCATTGCTAAAATAGCAAATAAACCCCCAAATTACTGCAGCCTGCATGCCAGTTCACCATGAAAAAAATGTCACAAGGCCCACTCAAGCTCAAATCAGTAGGAGTCAGAAGTGGGAAAAAGACCTTTCTGGCAATTATTACATACTTTTTCTTTTTTGATAGACAGGCAATAAATCTGCATAATTCTGTTCAGATGCGAGAACTCCCTTGCGGTAGACACACATAGATACTGTGCTATATGGGGTAAAGTTCTAGCTTGGGATTTTCAAACTACTTATTGACCTCAGTGTTTTTTTCCAACTGTGACCTCCCAAAATCATTTCTATTAACTGTACTTTATGCTTAACTGAATTCATTTTGACAGTAATTATCTACGATAATAATAATTATTAGTATAAATGCTGATATAATTAGTGTTTCTGTAGTAATTATTTTTAGTAGTTATACATTCTTTCTCTTGGTCACTGAAGTTAAGCTAAAAAAAAAAAAGCATATTCTTTGTAGCAAAGGATATCGCTTCTCCTAAGACGGTCCTTACAAGATGTCCTTCTCCAGATGCCTTTTTTTTATATATTTTACCCTTAAAAATCTAATTTCACATACCTCACTTGCCTTTTTTTGCATATGAAGTACCTTGAAGGTATTTCTTCTGTATTTTTCAACAGGGTGCCGCCGTGCTTACTGTGGAGATGGCTACAGACATGAGGGGGTTGAAGACTGTGATGGGAAGGATTTTGGATATTTGACATGTAGAACGTATCTCCCTGGGTATGTATAAGCTGTCTTCACTGTGGTTTGGTGTTGGTTTTATTGTTGTTGTTTTTGTCTGGGTATTTTTTTCTCTTTGTCAGCTTTAGAATGGAAAAATATTACCCACTTAAACCTTGTTCAGCTAGGGCCACTACAGGTAGTAGGGGAGAAAGAGATTATTTCTGCACATTGTTGGCTCTAAGGGCTCAGGAATAAGCATGTGCCTTGTACTGTACAGAATGAAGAAAGGTCACACAGCCATATTTGGCCATCTCTTGCAAAGATTTCCTCATTTGGTGACATTATAATTGTATTAAAATAGGAAAGACCATGAGAAAGCAATGACCATGCTGAAGGAAGAAAAAAACTACCCAAACCACAACCATAACGTCCAGCCAACCTCCTGTGCCCTTATCGTTAGCAGGTACTCTAGGGGTATCTTTGTTTCTGAGTCAACAGGACATCTATCAGCTTTTCCAAAGACCAGGAAATTCACTCAACAGCAGATGCAAAGTCAAGCTTCTGCTTGGAAATGTCCTTCATTTAAAACATCTGCTTATTGTTGACTTGCCTTCTCTGCCTCTGCTTAAGCAGCTTCCTCCGGTCAGTGTTTTGCCTCTAACAGCAGCACCTCTATTTAACTGTCAGGTATTGTTACTGGCTAACAGGAAACGTTTAATTTGCAAATGAAATTATGCACAGAGCCCTCATCATTCATGGGAGAATAATGTGCTAATTGACAGGAATAAGAAACCACGGGATGTGTTTGTAAATCAAGTGCTGTGCTAATCCCTCCACTGCAATTGTCTGAGCACTCCTAGTGTAAGAGATAACTACACTTGAGACCAGCAAACATGACAACCTGAGACTTTTTACAGAGATCTTGTCTTCAGGCAGTGTGGAGCTGTTTTCTACAGGGAAAACCATACCTTTCAAGAGTCTGAAGTTTGGTGCCAATACTAGCACCACCAAAATCTGAGAATTTTCTATACATTTCACATTCCATGTATAACCAAGTTGTGAAGAGCAACTGAGATTCCTTTTTTTGTGTGTGCATGCAGCCTGCAGATGATTTGCTAAAGCTGTGAATCATGAGTAAATTAGGATAAGTACGTTGAGCATGGCACACCGGGGGAAGTTTGAGCATGGCACACCTAGGGGAGTTTCATCTCAAAGCACCCTTCTCTCCAAGGGCTCTGCTGCAACTGATTTTCCCATTTTCTACTCTTTCTAGCATCCAAATCCTCCTCATATTTCACAGACATTCACTTCAGATTTTATGTTGGTTTTCTGAGAATGTGGGTTACTCAAGGACATGGTTTTAAGGACTTCCTTAATGATTGCTTAATCCACAGCTTGTGAATTATCTGAGGGATGGGTTATTCACTTACATATATACATACTAGTGATAAAACCTCATCAAAATGCTTATTTTATTAACATCATCATTTCTTCAGTAGGTAGAGTCACTGCAGTTCAGTTTAAGTCAGTAGAAAGACAAAAATAACTGTTTTCCCTTATTTTGCAAGGACTCTTCGATTTACTTTATTCAAAGTTGGGCACATGCTGCTATCGTTATTTCAAGTACGTGAAAAATAAGTTAGGGGACAGGCTTAGTCATGCCCACTGGAGCTATTGGAAGTAACTTGCAAACGCTTAAATCAGAGCCTCAGATATTTCATTACACATTTCCCGTGGGTGAGCACCAAGGCATCCTGCACCCACCCCTGCGTAATGCTCAAGTTCCACCGCTGACAGGGATCTTTTTTTAATTAACATTATTGAAAGTTAAGTCTTCATTCATAGTTTCTTCTGGGCTCTTTTTTTGTTGACAAGGGGGAGCGCAGTGGGACACTGATGGAAATTCCCCTCTTATTTTGTTTCCCACGTGTTGGTGCATGTGACATTTTCTGATGTTTTTCACTCCTACGGAGAGTTGCATCCAGAAACCATGCAATGTGAATGAACTACAGCATACTTTGAAATGCTTTCCTTTTTTTTCAGGTCTTACGGAAAACTGCGATGCACTTCTTACTGCTACATTGACTCTACACAGTGTCGATACTTCACATGAAGGGAGAGGAGATGGGTAGCACCCCCCCTGTAGCAGGGTGCTAGGTGCTCTGCTATCATCTATCCAGGAGGGACTGGCACAAAACAACCAACACCCACTTCTGTGTGAAAAGAAACAAAGAGACGTCATGCTGCTGATGGCCATTTTTAGATGTTTTTCTCTTCTTTTTTTTTCCAAACTAAGTCAGATTGGGTAAAAATAGGACCACTGCATCCTGTCTTAATAGAGAAATGTCAAACCGTGTTTGCCAGTAAGACTTTCACGTGGCTGTGGATGGCACCTTGCTCTCCATCGCAAATGCAACGTTAAGCTACTGGAAACTGACTTTCACCAACCAGGAATATCGTGTAACAATTACCTCGACTTAGCACTGTTAAACCTAAATGTAAGCTCTTCAGGGTTTTTGTCTTTAAACCTTCTCAAGCATAAACACGAAGCTTGGATGCGGTGTTTATAGAGAATTTCTTGTTTATTACAATGTGAACATTTTAAGTGTTGTATCCGTACAAGTGATGACTTCAGCGACATTACGGTTAACTATACATCTTCGTGGGTCAGAGGAGCAGAGGCACTTCAGTAAGCGCTTTCAAGATCAGCAAATCAGCTGAAAAAGCTGGTTAACTTCACCTTCAGGCTAAGATGTTTGTCTGTGCGTGTCTCTGTGCATGGACAGAAATACAAGCAGTCACAGGAGGCTGAAACTGCAGACCACAAAGGTCAAATTGGACAAATAAACTGTGAAATAGATAAGGAGCTTTCTCCTAGGAAAAAATCAGACAAGAAAGGAAGGTAAAGCAGGAATACTGTTTAGCTGGCTGAGCTCTGCATGACCCCAAAGAGGCAGGTAACCTGCCTGAAAACACAGCGTGACCATGTACACACTGCCTCCACTCTGACTGCTACACTGAAAGGTCTTTTCATCTCCGTGTCCACCCAACCATTATCATTCAACTACTGGTTATACCTTGTCCCCTCTCACCCTCTCTCCCTCTTACTGTTTCCACCATGGTGTCTGGGGTACCCCCTGGGGTACATTCTCACTTTTGTATTGGTGTAAATCAGACCTTGGAGTAGGGTGGTTATGGATGCTCATTTGTGCTGTGTAATATACATGTACATTTATTTTTCAGAAAGTTTGTTCAACTACATTAGCTCTGATAGAAGTCAGGGTAATGATATACTTATTTATTAGCAAGCATTAAAGAGAAAATTGTTGCGTGGGAGGCACTGTAACTGATATGCAAAAAAGAGTCTGCAACAGAAGGAAACGAAACAAAAGATGTGCAGAATTCAGGACTAAAAGCCTCAAATCAAGGTGTTGTTTTCATAAAAGCTACTTTTTTTCTGCTTCACGATAAATGCTGTACGTGACTGAAACATGTGAGTTGTCTGTGCCAGTGATAGCAGCAACAGCTGCACTTCCACTGGCCCCTCAGTAAAGGCTAAATAAAAGTGGATGTTGTGTTAGAACGATTACGCATTGAAGCAGCCAAGAAACACATACAACTTTTGCTACCTGCATAGAAGACTTTAACTCTGCATGTCCAAAGTGATAGGGGAAATCACCAGTTAAAAAAAATAAATTAGCATACTCTTTGTGGCTATCGCCTACCTGGGCTATTTCAGTTGCTGTGAAGTATGAAGCCAAGCCACTGGCAGTTGTAGCTCAGTTCAATTGTTCAACATTTTTCATCCTGTTACTTTTTTTTTTTAATTTTTTTTTAAACAGAGGTCTTAATAAAAGATCAAGGAATAACTGAGGTGAGGAACTTGCCATAAGCTCTGGAAATCTGGGCATGAGCATAGCTGCCTTTTAATGTCCTGTGTTTGTGCAAGCAGCAGGTTCCAGCAGTGTCACACCATGTGGGAGTGCGTATCCCAGCGGGACGCTCCCAAGGACACGCACCCTCCTGCCGGCCAACCCTTCAGATGAACCTCTGGCAACATCTGCCTGCTGTTACCGTCCTGGGCTTGGAGACACTTCATCTGAACACCTCACCTTCTCTAAGGAGTTCGTCTCTACTTCCCAACAGCCTGAAGTCTTTGAGAAATTCGGTAATCCCAGTGGCCTTCCACTTTCTGTTTTAAGTTGCATCATTATTAAAAGCTCCTACCTCTAAAGGTTGTTGAAGTTGCAAAGCTAAGTGGAGGGAGGGTAGGAAACACAAACAGGGGATGTGATCATGTGTGTGAAATTGTACTGTGTTGCACATCTTCAGGAAGGGACATATCAGTCTGGTCAGAAAACATTTGCAAAGCATGGATTTAAAATGGATTTTACTAATGTAACACGGACAATTCATCATTGTAACAGAAAGCAAGCAATGTGTGACCCAAGAAAAAAAGAAAGACATCTTGGAACGTGTTAAGTATATACAATTTTAAAGGCTGCAAAAGAAATCCTTCCTTCTTATTTCTGATATACCTGCTTTATCATTAGTGGAGGGTTCTTCAGCTGGATGGTGCCTGGTCTCTTGTGAATCATCCTCCCTCCTCTAAGTTTCTTAATACATTGTGCCAAGACTGGTTCAAAGTTAATTAGAGTGTTTCTATTTCTTGGCCTTTGGTAGCAGGAAATGCTTGTGGAAGAGTTTTCTAATTATTAGTATGCAATTCCAGACAAATATAAAACCAATATGATGTTACACCATGCACTGTATTAAATGTATAATAAACAACCAGCTTGCACTTAATTAAATATATGTAGCTACCTACTGCGTGTATTAGCAGCCCATGCCAATAAACCATGCTACCTTAGTTCTGCTATGTCCTTACTTTCACTACTTCATTTTGGATTTAACAACACCGTTTTTAAATATAATTACCCAGTTTAAGATGCTGGGGAGAGGGAAAAAAACACCAGTGCCTCCCTTCCTATGCCCGCTGCCTTTCCCTGCCAGGGAGGACCCGGCTCTGCGGGGGCACAGCCCGGGAGCACGACCGCGCATCCCCGTGCCTGGTACTGCTGCTGCCTAAGCCCCAAACTGACCAGTGCAAGACATCACCTGCAGAACAACCACACTGACTTCTGGTTGTAATTGGGGTCAGACAGTTTATGTTTAACAAGGCTTTGGGCTGTTGTTTGGGAGATTGTCTCCTCCTGCTACCTTGTAATGTACCGGTTTATAAATCCTACCAGAGGCTGAGCTGATGGCTGCAAACCAGAAAACCATGATGTCAGGTGCTGATGGGTGATGGAAAAGGTGATGCTGGCACCCAGGCTTTGGTCACTCCCAGCAGCCAGGACCCTGGCTTTGGGAAGAGGCTCCTGCCTTGCCACAGCAGCAGCCAACAAGTCTGTCCTCCTCAGGCTTTTGCGTGTAATGGGGCATCCCAGAGAAGGGCAGTGCTGTCTGCCTGCAGGTGACAGGGAAGTGTGCTGACAGCCAGAGAATGAACGAGTCTTTGGGGCAGTATATTTTCTGCCTGTCCTTTCTAAAAGCTCAGCTTCTGTGACACTCACCTCTCTGGCTTCCCAAATGCCTACATCATGTCTCTCTTCAGATCATTCAAAATTGTAGCTGTCGACCCTGTCTTGGCCCACAAATCTGGCCATGCAGCTCATTTCCTCCTTTCTTTGTTCTTATAGATTCCTTTAATGGCACCAAAGCTCATATCCTTTATAGCCCTTCCAAAACCTGCAATGCCTTCAATGCTCTGCAGTGACCGGGTTTTGTCAGCCTCTTTTTCAGCCTCTCGCACCATCCCTTTTCTAGTATGTACATGTCGCAGCCCCACAAACATCCCAGCAAAGCCCCTGGGCCACAGTTCTTACTTTCTTAAAGGATAGTTTCTTAGAGAAGCTAACCTCAATGTCTCTGAAAGTTACATGGTGCATTTCCCATTTAAATCCCACTGATTTGGATGAGAGAGGACTGGTGGTTATCCTTAAACTGGGAGTCTCCTAGAACAGGCACTGTCCTTGAGTAGCAGCTGTTCAGGAGTAATAACACTAGTAAGTCCCTGGTTAGCTGCTTTTGGGGACAACTCAATAGCTCTGGCACTCTGCTGCCACAAACAATCAGAGCATGTATTAAAAAAAGACCAGAACAAACCCAAGAAAAGTAAACTAGTGCTGTGCTGTGATTTTTCAGTGTGAACTCTAGTGTATCACGCAGGCAAGGAATAAAGCCTAAGCAAACGAGCCATTTTTTTGTCTTCATTGAATATGGTCTGTGAAAAAAACCCCACTGCATTAATGCAGGCAGTAACGTGCCCAGCAATGTGCTCTGTGCTGCAAACTGGGGTCCTCTGTGCTGAAGGCTGGTGTCACCCCAGGTCTGAAGAGGCCAGAGCAAAGCCGGGACATATGCTTTCATTGCATCGGTAATTACTGGGCATTTAGGAGGACGGCCCTGAATCAGTTCAGTCAAGGAAAGGCTGTATTCGAAAGGGTAGCCAGGCCAAATTATATTAGAGCAGTGTATGCCTGCTGGAAATCAAATTAGTGGCTACTTCCCTCTCTCTGCCCCCAACAAAATCTTGGTGCTTAAAGAGCACTGAGTTACAGCCCTGGCATTTTAGGGCTTTTAAATCCCTCTGAGAGTTTCCTGTGCATCTAATGGAAGGGTCCAGATTGGATGCACAATCTTTTTCCAGTGAGAGAGAACAGGCTTTAAAGAGCTGTATTTTGCTGGAGTCTTCTCACCCACTAGTGAACAAGCAGCCCTCCCTGCACGGGGTGCTGCTCAGCATTTGCTTTGGGAAAGGAGGGGGAAGGAGGGTCATGGACCTGGACCCACCAAGGCCTCCCTTAGCAAAGCCGAGCCGTGCTGCGGGCACTGCAGGGAATCGGAGCCTCCCTGGCTGTCGTGCTCAGGGTGGGAAGGGGCCTTGTGTCACACGTGCATCAGAGAATCTCCTGATCTTCAGAAGAAGTCATCTGTCCCCAGGGACAGCGTTACCGGTGGCATCTCCTGCAGGACGAAGGGAAGGACAAAGCACTCTCTCAGCATTGGGAGCCTGCCTGGCTGGCGTGAGACAACACAAACGCACAGGCT